GACGCCCCCGCTGGGTTGGCAGCCACTAGCCCCGATAAGGCCTTTGTGGGATGAGGGAAAGGCGCCCCCTTCCGCCGGCACCTTGCTGGGGCGGAGGAGGAGACTGGAATCGACCGCCCTCGGGCCGGCGCCGCGTCCCGCGGCCCTGCCGTCGGATCCTTCTGCCGGCTCCGGGCCCACCCACGCCCGCTGGCTCTGCTTCCCGCGGCCGGCGAACCTTGGTGTCTCCCACCCACCCTCAGGCCCGCTACCAAACTCCCAACTCCAGGAAACTCCCTTGGAATTCCCAAGCCTTTCCCAGAATTCCTTCTTTTCTTTTTTTTTTCCCTGTTCGTAGTTCTTTTTCTTAAAATTTTCACTTTCTTCAAAAATTTCCTTTGATCATTCCCTTAATTCAATTGTCTTCCCACCGATTTCTGAATCCTTCCCCGATATTCTTATATGATCCCGTCATTTACTAGAATCCTCTGTGTGGCCCAAAGTCTTGGTATTTCCCCAGAATACCACCCGATTAAATGAGGTTCCATTTCATCCCTAGAATTTCCACTGGTTCCCTACCTTTCCAAGATCTTCCCAGAATTCGGTCAGAATTTCTTTTCATTTTACCAAGATTTCATTCACTTACCCCCCACATCCTAAGAATTCAATTTAATGTTAATTAATGGATTTTCAATGCTCTGTGGAATTACTAGTCTTTCCCCAAATGTCTAGCCTCCGCCCATCACTGTCTTTGTTCCTGGAATTCTTAGTCTTTCCCTACGACCTCTGCCATTTCGCCTCCCCTGAATGCTGAGATTTCACCAGAGCTTCCTTTCATAATTGCCTTTTCTCTAGAATACCCAATCCTGACCCAGAACTCCATTTAAGCTACGATTCTCACTGATTTCCCAGAATTCCCAGGCTGTTCCTGGAGTTCCATTTAATTCTTATGGCATTTGTATCTCTTCCAATTCCCTGCCAAAACTCAAAATCTACAGTATTTTTCAAGAAGCTCAGCTTTTTCCAAGATTTCCCAAGACTCTGGAAGAGAGACGGGGCTTCGTCCCTTCCCCACATTCCTGGCCACCCCCACTTGCTTGGCACTGACCTTGTACCAGGTGAGGGAGGGGTCTGGGTTGCCTCCAATCGCCAAACACACCAGCCTCACCCGGGTTCCAGCCCGCAGGAACTGTCCCTCAGGGGCCCCCTCAATCCACAGCTTCTGGGCAGGATCTGAGACAGGAAGAGTGCTTTTCTCTCTGGGCTAGGCCTTAGGGTAGGGTCTCTAAGTCAGGGGGCGCTGCCACCCCCCGGGGCGAGGATGGGAGCTCACATTTCACATTCAGAGTGAGTGACTTCTTGAAGGTCTCCTTGGTGAAGGCCTCACTAAAGGCCTCACAGGTGAGGGTCAGACCATTGTCCTCCCGTCGTGCCAGGAATGTCAGGTTGGACATGGAGATGTGGCCACCATGAAGGCCCTGGCAGGGAAGAGCTTCAGAACTGGGGACTAGAGACCCTCATCCGCGGACTAGAGGCCTGAGTCCACACTATACCCAGCAGGGACCCAGGAGGCCCAGGCCCCAGTTCATGTGCCCCAAGGACCAAGGCGTTCTCTCCCAGCTCCCGCCTCCCCCAGACCCAGGAGCCTGGCCCCTGCCTCACATCCATGACCGTTTCCTCTGTGGGCAGCAGTTGCCGCCAGCCCAGCCACCACCGCAGCAGGACCTTTGGGCGACTGGACTTGGTGATGCAGGAGAGCGTCATGTTCTTGTTCTCAGACTGGGATGCAGATCCCAGGATAGTAATGGCACTGGGGGGAACTGCAGGGGAACGATAGGCAGAGGAGTTACACTAAACTGGGCTGGTTGCCTCTCAGACCAGCCCAGAGAGACAGGGAACTGGGGACAGATGATGTCTTTAGCATTAGACAGGCATGACTTGGGAACACACACAGATTGTTTGCTGGTGAACGAACTGACAGATGGGCAGCTAGCACCAGGACTCACAGGTAACCTGCAGCGTGACCCCGTGTTCCTGGATCCCTTTGGATACGCTGTTGTGGGCCTCACAGCTGAGCCTCGCCCCATGGTCTTCTGGCTGGACGACCATTGCTAGTATGCTTCGGGCCACTGCCTGAGTGTGCTCCGTGCCCCATGCTGTGGACAGGGGCTGGCCATTCTGGAGACAGAAACAGGCCTGGACCAGTTCAGGGCCAGTTCCTGGTCCCCGCCCTGCTGCCCACCTTCCTGCCCGCCTCTGCCCTTACCTTCATCCACTGCAGTGTGGCTGGCGGGTTCCCTCCTCGGGCCATGCACAGCAGCTCCAAGCTCTGCCCTGCCCGCACGTGCCCCTCATCCAGACCTGGCCACTCAATCACAGGGGGTCCTGGGGGGACTGGAGAGCAGTGGTCACTTGATGGGCCTGGGGAGCCCATCCACTCTTTCCAGGCTCCACAATCTGCCTCTGAACTCTCATGTTTCCCTTTGAAAGCCAGAGCCATTCATAATCCCTGTGTTCTCCCAGGACCCCCAATTCTTGCGCCCTATCCCCAGTGCCCATAATCACTCAGCTCCCCACTTACACAGAACATTCATGGTGACTGAGGCCTTGATAGGGGTCTCCAAAGCTGGGCTGGACCCCTCACAGACCAGTAACTGCCCATTATCCGAGCTCTGGGGTGTCACCCTGGGGGAGGGGAGTTGGAGTTCTAAACTCAGAGTCATCTGAAATTTGGGGATTTAGGATGAAGAGGTCCCCACACCTGGTCTAAGTCTCCATGCTGATTTCCTCTGGGATCTGGAGTCCCATGGAAGAGATTTTATTTGGGGGATCAGTAATGAGAATTGGGGTCCCAGAGGCCCACACTTGGCCAATTTCTTCATACTTGATATTCTGGAACTGCGGTTCCCATGAAGAAGTTGTGGAGTGTCAGGGTGAAGAACTGGGTCCCAGATATTCATACCTGACCCAAGTGTCCAGGCTTGAATCCCTGGGACATGGATTTTCATGGAGAAATTTGGGTGTTAGGCTAAGGGTAGGGCCTGGTTGTGGCCTGACTGTGGCCTCCCATACCTGGCTGTGGCCTCTGTGGTGAAGAGTTTCTCTTGGGATCCCTCATTCACATTAGCAGTGACGTCGGAAACTATTTGTCCACCTTGGGGTAACAAGAGGGCAGAAAGGGTGCCAAGTTCTCCCCAAAGTGGATCCTGGGGATCACAGCTGGGAGCCCTCAGGGTGCACATACTGTCCTCTCTCCTGGTTCTGGAGGAAAAACACTAGCTCCATTCCCCCCCACACTCAG